CCCCCCCCCCCCCCCCCCCCTCTCTCGCTCTCTCTCTCTATCTAACACACACACACACACAAAAGATTTCTACCGGGTCTGAGGTCTGAAACTTCCCGAAATCACAAAAGAGTTCCCCTACCGGGTCTGTATACTTCGTGACTTTGTTCCCGGTTACCTGGTCTGTATACACTTCGTAATTGGTAATAATGATAACAATAACAACCCAATTTCTAGTGGAAGAGTGTGACAACATAACCACAGGAAAAAATAATCATAACAGTAGACAATATAATGTCTTCCCTCACAATGTATTACCATCCAAATAATAAAAGGGGACAAATTTCAGTCATTAGATCTAAACCTTGTCTAACTCAAAGAAAGATGTTGCCTCCTTGTGACAAGTCACTAGTTGGTAAATATCCAAAAAAATATGCTTTGAACATATAGATCTAGATCTAGATCTAGATCTGATCTAGATCTAGAATCTAGATCTATATTCTAGATCTATAAACCGACGCGACCGACAACAAACGAATCACTTCGCCCCCCCTGAAATCTTTTTTCAACAACAATGTTGCTGGTAGGCCTACTACTCTTACTGAGCTGGCATTCACGACCTTGAAAGATTTATAACGTGGCCTAAATTATACTTGGCCTAGTGTGTCGCTGGGTGTGCTCCGCTCCGCTTTTCATTTGGTATTGTTCGGCTCGGCGTCACTCGTTGTCGACGAACATTCGGGAACCCGCGTTGAGTGTGGTGTCTGTTACTAAAACTAAAACGGAGCTGATATACATTCTAGATCTAGATCTAGATCTAGATCTAGATCTAGTATATCCACCATTACCGTCAATTTTCATTTCATTGTTCATTGTTGGCTAGGCACGCACAGTGCACAATGCGAATCTAAATGAAACGGTACTTTTCCGTTGCAGTATGGTACGGTAATTCATCAAGAGTCAAGAGCATTATTACAAGATGTTGACTAGAATCTAGATCTATGTTAATTGTTTTTCCTCAGTCGACTAGATTTAGATCTCTAGATCTAGAATGTATATCAGCTCCGTTTTAGTTTTAGTAACAGACACCACACTCAACGCGGGTTCCCGAATGTTCGTCGACAACGAGTGACGCCGAGCCGAACAATACCAAATGAAAAGCGGAGCGGAGCACACCCAGCGACACACTAGGCCAAGCTCTAGGCTGAGATCTTGTTTTTCAACGAACAAGAACAGTCATTAAAGTTTATAAACAGTTAAACTGCTTCTTTAAAAAATATTCTTAAATGAGCTTAACGCACACATTCAAAGAGTAGATTAAAACTGACTTCTAAAAGTTACACGAGTGGATGGATAGTGGATAGAAAGAACGCTAGCCTGGCCGCCGTAATTGGGTTGACCCCACAGTTCAGGACAAGAAACCTGAAGTCTTCCATATGGCCATATGTTGGAAATAAACACACAATACAGAGGTACACACAAATAAACTTACATGTTCGAGGGTATAAATAATGTCTGTAGATGAAGCTTTCGTCCTTAGAACATTAGTTTCACTCAAACAGACACTCTCACACACAAATTTAAAAAAATAAGAAACGTTCTTTGTTAGCTTTTTCCCCTCATGACGCTCTTGAGCAATGTGCGGATGGGAGCCGTAACGGGAGTTTTGTTGTGACTTTCTGGGCCCGTTAACCAATGAAAATGAAGCAGTAGTGTAGGCGTTTATTTCCTCAACACTCATTGGCTCATAGTGCCCAGCATTGATTGACGTCAGCATCGGAACATATTAATAGCATAATAACTGGGTTAACCAGTTGTAAACAGTAGCAGTTTGTTAATGAAAAGACCCATTTTGTAAGTAATCTTTACATTTATGATACCTATTTTAAAATACAGAAATCTGGTTTTAATTTCTGATTTTAAAAGATTCTGATAACGTTTTTACAAGGTTTTGTTTAATGCAGATTGGAGCCCTCGACAGAGCCTCAAGCCTTCAGAACACTTCTTGTCGACCTTCACCCGACAAACCAGGTTGACCTCGATTTCACCTGCTCGAGTTGCGAGGAGGTCCTTTTCTATTTATTCCGTTTCCCATTGACGTCATTCGTATTTTGATGACGACGGTCGCTTGCTTGCCTTGATATTCAGTGGAGAAATTGGTTGGTGGAAGTATTGTAGATATCCTTCATGTAGTTGGCCTAGTGATAGGGAGTGCATATTTGATCGTGAGATGTACCTGTGGTAATCAGTGTCTTTTGTTCTAAAAAGCAAATAAAAAGAGCGGAGTTGATGGAGAAAATATGGTAAAGTTATTCGGGGTGCCAACTACGGTTGGGATCGACGGATCGGGCCGCTCAAAAACAAACGTGTTTGTTTTCCGTTTCAGGCGACCGAGTCGGGCGATCGGCCCGATCCAGCCGAAATGAGCACCCCGTATTAGCGATACTTTACTTTGCGCAGCATGCTCGTGTTGAAGGGGGTGGGGTGGACAGACACACAGACTGACAGACACATATGTGTGTGTGTGTGTGTCTGTGTGTTTGTGTGTGTGTGTGTGTGTGTGTGTGTGTGAGAGAGAGAGAGGGGG